CACGTGGCAATGAGATGGAACACGTAGCAAGACAGCGGTTGCCTGTTGAATAAAAAGATTCAACAGTTTAATACAGTCGAATGGGGGTGTTTAATTTTTGCAAAAAAACTGTTGGAATTAAAAGTGTTTAAAAGATTCAACACGTTGAATCAGATGGAAATGGAGCCTGTGTCGCCACGTGTCAGAAGAGGCTGCAACGCGCAGAGAGAAGCTGTTCTCCTGAAGATAGGGACGCGTGCTCCCTTCTTATTGGCTGTCAAGATTTTTGATTTTTTTATATTTGATCTCAATTATTTGTTATTAAATGATTTTGTAAAAAAATGAAAATTCAGCATTTTTTATGATTTTGAACTGTGGTCTTAACTCGTACAATTCTGTTTTTTGATATCACTATCTCCATGTATACATTTTTAATAAATTCTACCAAAATTTGAATATTAAATCGTTATGAATCTTGCATCCACTCAGTGGATGCATCCACCCACATTATCTCCATCCACAGATCCACTCACGTCTTGGAATTACGTCCAACGATTCACTCTTTATGGATTCGTGAATAAAATGATGAGCAGGGAAAAGAGCATACATACAAAAATGTTACAAACTTTTTATTCGTGATGTGAAAGATCGTAATTAGTCTCGACTGTGTATCTATATTTTCCTCCGTCTCATTATAAAATATGTTTTTAATTAGTTAAAAATATAATTCAATCAATCACATAAAATATTTCATAGTTCAAAAAATCAAAATAATCAAATAACATTTAAATCTGCATAAAAACTAGTAAAATATCTTATATATTAAAATAAATAAAAAAACTTAAAATATCTTATATTTTGGAAAAGAGAGTATCTTTTAAAAGTTTGCATCTAACATTGAGGCTGTTGAATAAAATATTCAACAGTTTAATACAGTCCAACGGGGGTGTTTACTTTTTGAAAAAAAACAACTGGAATTAAAAGTGTTAAAAGAATCAGATGGAAATGGGGCTGCTTCGCCACGTGTCAGGCTGCGAGAGGAAGAGGCGTTGGCGCGTTGCAGCACGCGCAGAGAGGAGCTGTTCTCCCGGAGATGGGGACGCGTGCTCTCTTCTGATTCGCTGTCCAGATTTTTTGATTTTTTATCCCACCCACATTATTTGATCTCAATTACTTGTTATTAAATGATTTTGTAATTGAAAGCAT